CCCACTTGGACATCTCCTCCTGTCTCGTTTCTACAGTCTCACCAGCGTCGCCAGGCCCTTGCCCCGCCATCGCTTTCCGTGGCGACTCATGGTGCTGCTGCTTTTCCCTCTGCTCTCAGTGTGACCATGCCTTCTTATGCGAGCATTCTTGGTGCTTCTCCTCTCATGGACCCTCGCTTTGCCGTGCCATTTCTTCCTTCAGCTCCCAGCGTTGTCTCTCCATATCCCTGCTCTACGGTTGCTGCTCTCTCTCTCCCTCGCACCTTGGACTTTGTCCTCGACAGTGGTGCTACTGACTCTGTTTTTCGTGATGCCGGTGTTCTTCGTTCCTTTCCCCGCCCTCTCTTCATCCATGGAGCTGGGGAGACCATGACCCTGACATGTACTGGCACCTCGTCTCTTCCCTATCCTGCCTCCCCCTCTGGCGCAGTCACTGGCCTCTATGTTCCCTCTTGTCGTCATAACGTTCTCTCCCTCTCTGCCCTCCAATGCCTTGGTGTGCGAGCGAGTTTCCCCGCAGGTGAACTCTACTGTGATCTTCATTACCAAGACCGGCATCTTGCTGGTTTCACCCTTTCCCCTACCTCTCGTCTCTATACCCTCCGTGTTTCTCTCCCCTCGTCTGCGCATCACACTTCCCCTACTTCCGCTCCACCCATTTCCTCTTGCGACAGTCGCTCTCACCCAACCTACCCTTCTTCTCCATCATCGTCTCGGCCACCCAAACTTCCCTCTCCTTCGCAGCATGGTCCATTCGAAGCTGCTTCATGATCTTCCCTCCTCTCTCCCGCCCCTTCCTCCCTCTCCCACCCCTCCATGCACTCCTTGTGTTCAAGCCAAGCTTTCTCAGTCTCCTCATCCTTCTTCCCCTTCTGCCTCCTCCCAGCCTATTGATCTCGTGCATATGGACCTTTGGGGTCCCTCCCCAATCGCCTCCCGACAAGGTCATCATTACTTTCTCCTTCTCGTTGATGACCATTCTCGCTTTGCCACTGTCTATCCCCTTCGTGCCAAATATGACGCCCCTTCCCTCATCATTCGTTGGGCTGAACAGGCTCGCCTTCGCTTCGGGCGTCCTGTCGCGCGTTTCCACTCCGACGGTGGTGGCGAGTTCTTTAATCATTCTCTCTCCTCTTACTGCTCCTCTCATGGCATTTGTCAAACCTCGACCCTCCCGCACTGTCCTGCACAAAATGGTGTTGCCGAGCGTCGCAATCGCACCCTCATGGAGATCACTCGATGTCTCCTCACCCATGCTTCCGCTCCCCGCTCTCTTTGGAGCTATGCTCTTGTTCACGCAACTCTTCTTTCCAACCTTCGCCCTCATCCCCTTCGCCCCACCATTACCCCCTTTCAGCTCTGGACGGGCCGCCAGCCCTCTGCTCGCCCTCTTCGGGTGTGGGGCTGTGTCGCTCATGTCCTCGTCAATCCAGCTGATCGGGCATGTCAGGGTGGGAAACTCGCTCCTAAGACGTAGCTCTGTGCATTCATTGGCATCAACTCTGATTGTCCTGGCTACCTTTTCTATGCTCCCTCCTCTCAGCAGCTCATTCGCAGCCAGGATGTCATCTTTGACGAGACTCGCTCTCCATTCCTCACTCCCCCTCCCACCCCTCCTACTCCTTCTCTCCATTGGTCTGACTTTGATCCCCGTCCCTCCGCTGCTCCCTCTGCTACTCCCTCCCCACCTCCCCTTCCCCTCGCCCCTGCTCCTCCTCTCCCACCTGCCCCCTCTGCCCCTCCTTCCGCCGTCACCTCAGGCAAATCTCCTCCTGCTTCTTCCTCTTCAGCTCCCATGCTCTCTCCATCGCCACCTCTTGATGCTTCCCTTCCTTCTGTTCCCCCTCCCCCACCCTCTCCGCGCCTCACACGCTCCATGACCCACGCAATGTCCAATTTTCAGCACTCCGCTCTTTTCACTCGTCTATCTTCCTCTCAGGACCCCAATCTTCTTGAAGATCGGTTTGAGGAACTCTTCTCTGTTCACCCTGTCTCCCTTCTTCTCTGTGTCACCATCGGCGACTTCAGCAATTCACCCACTCTTCTCTCTGCCGACACTGCCGCCATTCCCATCCCTCAGTCCTATTTCGAGGCCGTTTCTAGCTTTCACGCCTCTGAGTGGATGGCTGCCATCATTGCTGAGTGTGAGGCGTTCACTCGTACCAATTCCTACGTTGACTCTGTCCCCCCCCCCTGGTGCCAACATTGTCAAGGGCAAACGGGTCTTTCGTGTCAAGCAGTTGCCTGGGGAGCTTCCTCTCTTCAAAGCCCGTTATTGCGCCAAAGGCTTTACCCAACGTGAAGGCATTGACTACTTTGCCACTTACTCTCCCACTGCTCGTCTCCCCACCCTTCGCCTCCTTCTTGACCTAGGTGCTCGCTGGGATTGGGAGATCCATTCTATGGATGTTTCCAATGCTTTTATTCAGGGCGAGCTTCATGAGCGCATTTTCCTTGAGCGCCCCGCCGGTTTTCCTCGCCCCTTTCCTCCAGGCACTGTTTGGGAGCTTAAGCGCCCTGTGTATGGCCTCAAGCAGGCTCCCCGCGGTGGCATGCCAAACTCGCCTCCACTCTTCACTCTCTTGGTTTCTCCACCTCTACCTCCGATCCCTGTCTTTTCATTCGCACTTCCCCTCATAGGCTTTACATTCTTGCCTATGTGGACGACTTGGTTCTGCTTGCTGAGGATTCTGCCGATTTGGCTGCTGTCAAGAAGGCCCTGCAGGCGCGTCTTCTGTGCAAGGATCTCGGCGAGCTCCGTCACTATCTTGGCATGGAGATTCGCCGCGATCGTACTGCTCGCACCATCTCTCTCTCTCAGGCGTTCTACATCCACTCTATCCTCCAGTGGTTCGAGATGTCCCAGACCACACCGGTCTCCACCCCTCTTCCGTTTAACCATCAGCTCGATGCCCCTACCGTCCCTGCTCCCTCCTCAGAATTGCGACCCTATCCAGAGCTCGTTGGGTCACTCATGTATGCTATGATGTGCATTTGCCCCGATCTTGCCTATCCCCTCACTGTCCTCTCTCACTTTGTTGGCCTTGGTCGCCACACTGACGTGCACTGGGCGGCTGCCAAGCGTGTTCTCCGCTATCTTCGCACTTCATCTGATCTTGCACTCACTCTTGGTGGCTCTTCTCCCCCCGTTCTTTCCGGTTACAGTGCTGATTCTCGCCCTGATCGCCGCTCTTCTTAGGGTTATGGTTTTACTCTTGGCAGTGGTCTCATCAGCTGGTGCTCCACTCGTTCATCCTCTGTCAAAGGAGAGCCAGCGAGCCTCCTGAGCTGCCAATGTGCCTGCGTACAACTCAGCCTCACAGGGTTGGGGTTTCCCAACCCTAACTTTCAAATGTGTCTCGACACTTTCTCTAGTGCAACTTTTCCTTCTCGTTACTTCACTCACTAGCCATGGCTGCCACTCACCTAACTTCAACACCACCTCCTCCTCCTGTCTCTGGTCTTCGGACCCTCGGTCTCCCCTCTCCCTCTCCTTCCTCCTCCCCCTCTCCTCCTGTCTACGGTCCCACGTTTCTTCCTCCTGACTCCTCCCCAGCTGTTCTCCCTCGTTCTCCGACTCCGTTGTCTCCTCCTCCTTTGCCCGCCTGGCCCTCTCCTCGCTCTCCTCGTGCTCGTCCCTCGTCCCCTGTCGCTCTCACTGACCTTTGTACTGCCCTGTTCCGTTCTAGTCCGCCTCGTTCGTCTCAGTCTGTGCTTCCTTCTAGCAAGCATGAGTGAGCTGCGGAGCCTCACATCCTTGGAGATAGCTGCTGATAGCGCTGACGCGGGCTTTGTGCCTGTGAGCGTCAGTTTCTTGCCTCGACTGCGCAAGCTGTGCGTGTGTGGTAGCTTGCGTGCAGAATCGTCTCCCCCTCCCTCGCCCTAAGCACAAAATATTTACCTCTTCTGGTGTTCCATTTGCCAAGGTTGTCAAGCCTCTAGTATTTGTCAAGCCCATCCAAACTAGGGTTACTCTTTTCATGGAGTTTGTGAAGCTCTGGTTTCAACTTTGTCACAGCAGTTACTTACCGTATACTCCCGGAAAAAACACCCCCCCATAATTGTACACCCCCGGGTAGCTTGTGCGGGGTGGGTGTTATGATAGACCTCGTTTCTACTATACCCCCCTTTTTGGCTGATTTTCTATAACACCCCCCTTTTCTTACATATTCATCATTATAGTCGTTAACGAGTAGCTGCAATACGGAAGAATATCGTGTGAATTTCTCCCTCAAGGAAATTTCGCGGTACATCCAAAGGCAATCTGCCGAGATTTGCCCCCTCCCACTATTTCTCCGTTGCCACGTGCAGGTGAATCTTCCGTTGCAAGTGGCAAGAGAGGTGCCACATGGCATTTTCGTGAGGGCGATGAAGTTCGAGGCCGAAACTCACATTCGCGCCTCAGGCAGTGATGCTAAAAGGACCAGCAAAACACCCACATTGACTAATTAAAAAAACACTAAAATATGCCATATGTAAAGACCCGGGTATTATGCATTTTTTTCCTATGAGGAGACCCCCCCCATTTTTTCCCTGTATTTTTAGCTATACCCTAGGGTTTTATGTCCGGGAGAATACGGTACAAGCATGTCTCCGTGGATACAAAACCATGAGTACTTCTTCTCATGGAATTATAGCATACAAAACAAGCTCCCTGTCCAGCATGAATGAACGCTGCAATTGGCAAGGTTCACCATACGGAAAGGTGGTGCGTCAACAACATCAGCGCTGGATAATGGTAGAATGCACAGTTGAGCACCCGGTTAGCCTTGCTGAAACCAACACCTGGAAAGCCCAGCGAGATTATGTCAACTGCAGCGACGATTTTACTAGGCACCTCAAACTGACTGCAGGGTGTCATGGGTCTAAGCGCGCGTGAGGCGCAGCAGGCACTTGTAGAAAGTAACAGGTTTCTCGCCTCAGTGACTTGTACTGTAAGGTGTGACCCTTGTTCACTGCTGAGCGGACTCAAGAACCACCTTTTGAGGGGATGCAAAAGTCTAAGCGCGTGTGAGGCGCAGTAGGTACTTGTAGACAGTGACGGGCTTCTCGCCAAAGCCCAGCGAGATGACATCTGCTGCAGAGAGGCGCGACTGCCCCTCCCCTGCCACCCCGCCCACCACCGGGAACATTGACACTCGCTGGAACGCCTGTGGAGTTATTGGTAGGGCCAGAGCAAGGGGAATGGGACAGGGGGATGGAAAACGTTTTGAAGAACGTTTTGAAGAGGCATTTGTGTGCGTTTGTGAGGTGAACGTTAGAGCACAGGGTTTAGGGAGGAAGGGGAAACAAGAGAGGCGTGCAGTGTGTGTGTGACCTTCACACCAGAGAGAGAGAGAGAGCGAGTGGTAGTGGTACTGACATAGATCTCCTTCACTTGCTCGGTTGCCTTGACCTCGTCCCACTGATACCGGGTCAGATTGCTGGACGCCTGTGGGTTGAGGGATGTCATGGCATGGCATTACATGGCATGGCATGGCATGGCATGGAAAGGGGAAACGATGCACAGGTTAAAACACCAGACGGTTAAGGCAGCCACACGGACGCAAGATGTTAAGGCTATGGTAACAAGAATGGAGGCACAACTTAGTGGCGCGTGGCGCAGCAATGGCCAAAGTGGCATATGCAAAGTGGCTGAGACTGCTTCACAGCATAGATAAAAACAGTTGCGGCAGGCAAACAGGTGCGCGTTTGAAGATTCTTCAAAACTAAAGCTTTGTTCTTCTCAGGCGCGCTTAACGAGAGAGAAAGACAAAACAAACAGATAAGTAAACAATAGAACTCCGTACCTTAACAGAAGGAGGGCCATCCAAGACACTCGGGTTATCAAACACCTGATTGACGGATTGTTTTGTGGATGACACGTGACACAAGAGGGTGTGTGGGAACAGTGTAGCGTAAATTACGAAGGAAAGACAGACCCCAAGTCAGTCTTTTATCAGTGCTAGCTGAATCAAGCAGGGCAAGGCGTGGTTGAATTGATTGGGATTTGCGGCACATGGAAAAAAGGAATGGCAGGAAGGGTGACACGACGACGACAATGTGCGCTTCATACGCACAACATCCACGTTGCATCGGCACTCCTGCATTTCCCGTCAACAACCCATTCCCCTCCCCTCCCCCTTCTCCCACTCTCCCCCTCCTGCCCTGCGAGCAGTACCTGCTGTGAGTATTCAAACACGTCGAACTGGTTGGGAGCTGACATCTCATATGATCGCCGCGTGATTACACTCTGCACCTGGTGGTAGTGCCATGGCGGCATGCCATCCAACCGCGATGCCATTGTGTCATGGCATCATCATGCAGTCATGGAATCATCATGCAGTCATGGAATCATCATGCAGTCATGGAATCATCATGCAGTCATGGCATCATCATGCAGTCATGGCATCATCATGCAGTCATGGAATCATCATGCAGTCATGGCATCATCATGCAGTCATGGCATTATCATGCAGTCATGGCATCATCATGCAGTCATGGAATCATCATGCAGTCATGGAATCATCATGCAGTCATGGAATCATCATGCAGTCATGGCATCATCATGCAGTCATGGAATCATCATGCAGTCATGGCATCATCATGCAGTCATGGCATTATCATGCAGTCATGGCATCATCATGCAGTCATGGCACCATCATGCAGTCATGGCATCATCATGCAGTCATGGCATCATCATGCAGTCATGGAATCATCATGCAGTCATGGAATCATCATGCAGTCATGGCATCATCATGCAGTCATGGCATCATCATGCAGTCATGGAATCATCATGCAGTCATGGCATCATCATGCAGTCATGGCATTATCATGCAGTCATGGCATCATCATGCAGTCATGGCACCATCATGCAGTCATGGCATCATCATGCAGTCATGGCATCATCATGCAGTCATGGCATCATCATGCAGTCATGGCATCATCATGCAGTCATGGCATCATCATGCAGTCATGGCATCATCATGCAGTCATGGCATCATCATGCAGTCATGGCATCATCATGCAGTCATGGCATCATCATGCAGTCATGGCATCATCATGCAGTCATGGCATCATCATGCAGTCATGGCATCATCATGCAGTCATGGCATCATTATGCAGTCATGGCATCATCATGCAGTCATGGAATCATCATGCAGTCATGGAATCATCATGCAGTCATGGAATCATCATGCAGTCATGGAATCATCACGCAGTCATGGCATCATCATGCAGTCATGGCATCATCATGCAGTCATGGAATCATCATGCAGTCATGGCATCATCATGCAGTCATGGCATTATCATGCAGTCATGGCATCATCATGCAGTCATGGCATCATCATGCAGTCATGGCATCATCATGCAGTCATGGCATCATCATGCAGTCATGGCATCATCATGCAGTCATGGAATCATCATGCAGTCATGGCATCATCATGCAGTCATGGCCTTATCATGCAGTCATGGCACCATCATGCAGTCATGGCATCATCATGCAGTCATGGCATCATCATGCAGTCATGGAATCATCATGCAGTCATGGAATCATCATGCAGTCATGGAATCATCATGCAGTCATGGCATCATCATGCAGTCATGGCATCATCATGCAGTCATGGAATCATCATGCAGTCATGGCATCATCATGCAGTCATGGCATTATCATGCAGTCATGGCATCATCATGCAGTCATGGCACCATCATGCAGTCATGGCATCATCATGCAGTCATGGCATCATCATGCAGTCATGGCATCATCATGCAGCCATGGCATCATCATGCAGTCATGCCATCATCATGCAGTCATGGCATCATCATGCAGTCATGGCATCATCATGCAGTCATGGCATCATCATGCAGTCATGGCATCATCATGCAGTCATGGCATCATCATGCAGTCATGGCATCATCATGCAGTCATGGCATCATCATGCAGTCATGCCATCATCATGCAGTCATGGCATCATCATGCAGTCATGGCATCATTATGCAGTCATGGCATCATCATGCAGTCATGCCATCATCATGCAGTCATGCCACCCTCCATCATACCCCATGGCACACCATGTGTAGAGGTGGAAAGGAGGGGTGAGGCAAGTCCAAGACCCCTGGAAAGAACAGAAGGCCTGGAACCTGACAGATCCTCACAAAAATCATGTGACAAGCCCTTAAGGAGACTATGGAACGTTCCACAAGACAATTAGGGGGTGAGTGAGGGGGGGAGCGAGTGAGTGAGGGAGTGAGTGAGTGAGTGAGTGAGTGACCAACAGGAACGGACCTTGTACCCTCCCTTGAGAGTGAGGGTGAGCTGGTTGGGCCTGGAGGGCGACCAATCAGCATCCGCCACCACTCCCTTGCCCATCATTGCCTCCACCAATGACTGTTGCGTTGCTCCCTCGCCCATGCCACGCCATGCCATGCCACGCCATGCCATGCCAAGTGCACCGCCACACCACGATGACGAAACACCACATTGAAAAACAAGGGAGAAGATTGGACAAGGGAGGGAGGGTGGGAGGTTGTGGTGGAGAAAGGGAGAAAGAGGATCGGCCATGGTAAGAACGGGACGGGGAAGGGAGAGATGGAGATGGGAAGAAGGGAAACTGGGGTGCAGCAGCAGTGTTTCTCTTAGATCGAGTTTTGATTCAGCCCCAAATCTCAGCACTCACGGTGGTGGTGAAGGCCCTGTCCCCAACAACTGTCGTGTGCCATAGTAACGAGGTGACTTTTGAGTCGACTCAAAAGTCACGGCGGTGGTGAAGGCCCCGTCCCCAACAACGTCGTCATGAACTTAAAAGAGCGGGCCCGGTGCGACAGGGGACAGGGCCTCTGTGAGACAGCTCGACATGATTCTTTTCCAATGTCGCATTGTTTTAGACAGTTTCAGCGCTCACAGTGGTGGTGAAAGCCCTGTCCCCAACAACGTTGCCGTTGAACTCAAAGAATCGGGCCCGGTACGGCAGCGTGACTCCTATGTCGCGCCGTGCCTGCGCCACTGCCAGGCTGTCCGCTGCCTGCTCGCCCTGCGGCGTCTCGAGCGCTATCAGCTGCGACAGACACTCCCACTCGCCCTCAAACACCCTGAAAGGACACCACACACACGGTATGCGATGCATGGAGTGGAATGGGGTGGAATGGGTTCACATTGTGCCCTCAAACACCCTGTGCGCGCACCACACGCATAACATGGGAGGAACAATGTGGCATGGGTTGGCACGAGATGGCATGGGCTGGAACGGTATGGAAGGCAGGAGGAGCATTTGGGTGGCAAGACCCTCACCTGGGGTAATACACGTCAGCATCCCCAAACCCCAAACCGCGGAGAATCCGTTGACCCACAGATACGCCCTCCCCCTCGCCCACACCTGCTTCTGCTGCTGCTGCTGCTGCTGCTGCTGATCGTGGTGTGAGTCCCATCCCTGCCGCCACACCAGCTGAAATCCCTAGAGCCATCACCATGCGACGGGAATACCCTCTCTCAAAAACTTCCCCGTCCTTTCTTCGGTAACCACTCGCATCCCCTCCGCGCTCCCTTCCTTTTCTATCTGCTTGCTGCGCTGCTCCGCTCCCCGCTTCATCTCCTACTGAATCTGCCACGTCTCCTTCCGCCCCTCTTCCTCCTCCTCCACCTGCTCTTCGTCGCGCGATATTCCCCGCCACAGCAGCTGCGTGTTCTACTGCTCCTCCTGGTCTTGTTACCTCTCCTGCGGCGACTGCGGCGGCTGCAGCGGCTGCGGAAGCGCCCACGACTCGCGCAAATCTACCAGAGTGGAGGGAGTCAGCTAGGTTGATCGAATCTCCATTTCGTGCGGCGCGATGGACGCCTACTAACCGCGCCCCGGTTCCACGAAACCGCCGGTTTGAGAGGGACGCGGCGCCGACGGAACGGACTGCTGCTACGCGCATCGCGACAGGGTCTTGTTGGTTTCGCGGGTTTCGTGGGACGCGGACAGCGTTAGGAGCCTGCATCGAGTCTCTCACGTAGCGAGCCCTGTCGCTGCGCGGCAGCATCGATGAGACGACTGAGCTGGAGTAAACCAGAGACATGGCTGCGAAGCGGAAACGCGAAGAGACGACTAAGGAGCTGGTTCCTAGGAGCGGCAACGCGATGCGGCGAGGAAAGCGCTACAATGGAGCAGAGTGCTTTATGTTATCCGTAGAGCAGTATAGCTGCGTGCGTCATGTGGAAAAACGTGATGGATCAACATTTGTTTTCTGAAGTGGCAAATGCAAATCAAAGGGAGAAGATCATATTGGGGCCGAACAGTGCCAGAGGGGTGTTCAAAGTAGAGCCGGTAAATCTCGACCGTAGGATTTCAACCCGGAGCTGACCAAACGACTCAGCGAACAAGCCGAACCATGAGTAAAAGAAAATTGCTAAAACAAACCGAGTTTTGTGCTCATTGTTTTTTTTTGTGTTTTGACCGCCGTCTACTACAACGCGCGCGTCGCCTTCTTCTGGAATTAATATTCGGGGTGTGAAATCGTGAGTATGTAACAACATAATATATTCTAGGTGATACATATCACCTACCCGATCGGAAATGCACAAGAAAAAACAATATAACCCATTCGGAAACGGATGCGACTCGGGAGGCATCAACCCTATATATCAGGGACGGCCCCTTATTTAGGGTTGATCCATCTCGAAATTACCTCCAGGTTCCCTATGAGTTTTAGTTTTTTCTGGCTGCCCTAGAGTTCCCGGTAGAGTCGGCTCGCTAAGCGACACGCGAGCGAAAATGCGAGCCGGTACATGCCACTAGTAACATAACTATGTGCAATAAACAAAGACCCCCTGTTAATCCCTCGTCGCGCAGTGGTTTGGTAAGTTTCGGGCCTCTCGGCCCCTGGTCGATCACCTCTCTGGCACTGTTCGGCCACTGTATGATCTTTTCCCAAATCAAAATGGAATTGGAAAACGGCTGACTGACGTGGATTCAACATGCTTTTGTGTGGACGGAGCGTGCGAGACGTGGCGCTCCTTGATGGTTTTTCATAAGCAGTGTATCCACCTCTTGTTTTGCAATCAGTACACTCTCATAATTGCAGTTGTCACCCAAATAACTCAAAAACTCTGCACCGCGTAGCGGTACCCTGCAAGAAGTATCTCGCGGAGGTTCTCGATACAGCCACGTGTGCACGCCCTTGGTTCAGGTCCCTACAAGCTTATTGGACCTGTGGTGCATCCTAATCAGCAGCGAACGCACGTGTCGTTCCCTCCGTGTTCACACTGTCCAAGAATTCAGCCTCCCTTGCTGGTGGCGAATCATGTGCCAGCCAGGGTAACCAGCTCAGCGATCCGTCACCGAATCAACAACAGCTGCGACGGTTACCATTGAATTCGCAACGCAAACATCCCTGTTGTCAACATTTTTCAGATGAGTGCCCTCTTCTTCCTCCACCACTGCTCTCTCAGTAGTACGTCCTTGAGCCACTCCCCTCGGTAGCTTGTTGGTCCGCCTGTCTGTTACAATTCCCACCAGTGACCAGAGACTTCTACCGAAGTCGCGATTTCGGGAATCGCCGTGCCGCAACCCCTCAAAGCACAACTGAGCGTGGCGCGGGGCAGCCAGACCAGACGCATTCTGATCATGGCTCAATCAGGTCCGTTGCGAACCTGTATTAATCTACTCTCTGGCCTGATTCAATATCGACCGCCCTGTTATTGTGTATCCTCTACAATTTCACCCGCCAGCCATCATCGGACGGCTGCTGTACAAGCATCCCGACTAGGCCCGTTATAAACTGTCGCCACCTACTCTCCCATTCCTCCTTTCCTCTTCATTTCCTTCTTCCTTCCCCTCAACTTTCTCCCCTCTCGTCCTCTCACCCCCACTCCCACATAACGCCTGCGTCCCAGCGCTCTCCGCCATGGCCTCGCTTTGCGCAGCGCCGTCTACGGCGACCCTGCCGCTCGCCGGCGCCTCTGCTCATGTGCGCCGTAATTCTACCAAGAGGTGCGTGCGATTCGATGGGATGCGTTTTGAATGGGATGAGATTTGGATGCGATTCAAATGGGATGCGATGCGATGCGATGACATGCCGTTCACCGTGCGCCGTGCTACGCCTGAAGATGAAAACGATAAAGAAAACGGCGTGCTCACAAGCACCATGTGAAACCACGTCACATTCTGAGTCGCAGTGAGGCGCCTCTACATGCGTGGAGGGTCAGGGTGCCATGTGCCTGCTGACTTACTGACTGACTGACTGACTGACCTACTGACTGGCTGACTGACTGACTGACCGACTAACTGGCTGACTGACTGACTGACTGACTGACTGACTGACTGACTGACTGACTGACTGACTGACTGACTGACTGACTGACTGACTGACTGACTGACTGACTGACTGACTGACTGACTGACTGGCTGGCTGGCTGGCTGGCTGGCTGGCTGGCTGGCTGGCTGGCTGGCTGGCTGGCTGGCTGGCTGCCTGGCTGGCTGCCTGGCTGCCTGGCTGCCTGGCTGGCTGGCTGGCTGGCTGGCTGGCTGGCTGGCTGGCTGCCTGGCTGCCTGGCTGGCTGGCTGGCTGGCTGGCTGGCTGGCTGGCTGGCTGGCTGGCTGGCTGGCTGGCTGGCTGGCTGGCTGGCTGGCTGGCTGGCTGGCTGGCTGGCTGCTGGCTGGCTGGCTGGCTGGCCTGGCTGGCTGGCTGGCTGGCTGGCTGGCTGGCTGGCTGGCTGGCTGGCTGGCTGGCTGGCTGGCTGGCTGGCTGGCTGGCTGGCTGCTGGCTGGCTGGCTGGCTGGCTGGCTGGCTGGCTGGCTGGCTGGCTGGCTGGCTGGCTGCTGGCTGGCTGGCTGGCTGGCTGGCTGGCTGGCTGGCTGGCTGGCTGGCTGGCTGGCTGGCTGGCTGGCTGGCAGGCAGGCAGGCAGGCAGGCTGGCTGGCTGGCTGGCTGGCTGGCTGGCTGGCTGGCTGGCTGGCTGGCTGGCTGGCTGGCTGGCTGGCTGGCTGGCTGGCTGGCTGACTGACTGACTGACTGACTGACTGACTGACTGACTGACTGACTGACTGACTGACTGACTGGCTGGCTGACTGACTGACTGACTGGCTGACTGACTGACTGGCTAACTGGCTGGCGGACTGGCTGGCTGACTGACTGACTGACTAACTGGCTGGCTGACTGACTGACTGAGGACTGACTGACTGACTGACTGACTGACTGACTGACTGACTGGCTGACTGGCTGACTGACTGACTGACTGGCTGACTGACTGACTGGCTAACTGGCTGGCGGACTTGCTCCCACACTGGTCGTGTTAATAGCACTTGCACTTACGCCGAATCTGATTCCCTCTCCCTTCTCCCTAGTGCCATACCACCAGTAGAACGATATGTCTCTCCATCGGTATCCCTCTCACTTTCACTCTCTCTTCCCCCCCCCCGCCCCCCTCCATCCCTCCCCTCTCCTCCCCCCTTCTCCCTCACGTTTTCCCCCTAACTTTCCATCCATCCACCCTCGTTCAGAACACCTTACTCCATCCACGTCCATGCTTCCACCAACCCCTCCTCCTCTTCCTCCCCTTCCTCTTCTTCCGCCTCCTCCTGCGCATCTGCTGCATCCCACCCGCTCGCACTGTCCCTCACGGTTGCAGCAGCAGCGGCGGCTCTTGTGCTGCTGCCCTCCGCCGCTCTTGTTCTCCCACAGCCCGCTCTTGGTGAGAACCCACTCTCTCTCAATCGCACCCAGCTTCCTTTTCCTTTGCCTCCCAATTTACCCCTCTCTACAGGTCGCAAAGCCTTCCTTTACCTTCCCTTCTACCTCCCCCTTTATCCCCCCCTCCAACCCCCCTGCCTTGCCCCTGCTTCCACTCCCCCCCCGCCCCTTTTCCCCCCTTTCTTTCCCCCTGCCTCCCCCCGCCCTTTCCCCACGTCACCTCCCGTATTTCCCCAACAGCGTTGACTGAGAGGGAGCAGTACGAGCAGCTGGACAGCAACTTCCTCAGCTCCCTCTCTTTCCCCCTTTCCCCATCTCCACCCTCTCCCCTTGCCCACTCTTCCACTCCCCACCCCCCCCCCGCCCCGGTGTGCCCCTGGGCAGCGTTGAGTGAGAGGGAGCGGTATGAGCAGCTGGACAGCAACTTTCTTAGCTCGCCCATCCTGCAGAAGTTGCTCAAGCAGAGCGAGGAGAATCGCGAGAAGTGAGTGCCGCTCAGTGGGGTGGAGTGCGGTGGAGCTGGGTTGGTCTGGGTGTGGCTGGGTGTGACAAGGTTGGGCAGGGTGGGGCGCATTCAGTGCAGCGCAGAGTGCCGGGGGAGACGAGTGGGGAGAATGTAGATGGGGCGGGTGGCAGGATGGGTATAGGGGATGGGATAGCGCCTAGATGAGGCAAGAGGGGAGTGGAAGATGAGAGACATTAGAGGTAGTGGGAGAGAGCAGGATCGGGTTGTCACTGGGTCTATTGCCTGCTGTGGTTCAAAAAAAAGTTTGTGTATTTTCAGAGCACAGAGAATGCTCCCTGAGTACATGATTGTGTTGCGTGCTATTCTGGGTGCTGGTGGTGGTGCAGGAACCGACAAGAGATAGAGAACAAGTACTGCCTGCGCGGTGCTGGTATGTGCTGAATTTCCCACGCACGCTCGCGCTGTCGATTCTGCATGGTTTGGTATGGCTGACATGGTCTGGCATGGTAGCGCGTGGCATGGTATGATATCCACTAAAGCACATGTAAATTTTTTTAAAGTTTTACTTCAAAAAAAATGAAGATTGTGATTCGACTAGTAGAGGAGTTTGCTGTAAAGGAGACAAGCTCCTTCACATTCCCGCAGGTCTCTCAGACCTGCCACCTAGTCTCATTTTGCATTTTCAGATCTTCATTTTGCTGTAAAGGAGATAAGCTCCTTCACATTACATATGACGACTGCACTGCACACTCCTCGGAGAGTCATGTCACAATCATGACATGTCACAATATCGTCATGAATGAAAAGCTTGCTCAATATCAGCATTGGTGCTTCTGCTGTCATGTGTCACCACCACTGTTGTGCCTTGTGTGTTCCTCCTGTGCCTTCAATGGTTTTGCTGTGTTTGATGTTTGTGCTACGCT